ATCGAATCGAAGCGGATGGGATCGGATGGGTTCGCTCTTCGGTTGTGTTGATTGTGTGAAAATATAGAAAAACACTGGCACTGCAATCATCGGAGGATGCCCTTACGATTTCGCTTGTTCTGATTTGATTGTTGTGGGCTATCGCGCGGGACAGGCGCGTGTCACGTGTCCGACATGGTCGAGCACTCCCTCATCCGGACTCCGGGACTCCTGCTCTCACATCTTTCGATAGAACACAGAGGCACAGAAAAAAAAAAACTCGTTTATCGGGAAATATCAGTATGATCCCGGATTTTCGACTCGAATGCCTCTCTGGTGTTTGCCCGTTTTTGTATTATTTTATTTTTTTTTTTTTTGGAGATCAACGGAGAAAGCAGGCAGTCGCGTAGCCGTAGCCGGAGACGGAGCAGCAACGGTGAGCGGTGAACGGTGGGAACTGGAGGAACAGGAGAGACGCGCGCGTGTTCACTTTGCCAACGCAACAGACACTGGCGGGCAGCCGGCCAGAAGCCAGGTCCACGACCATGCGAACAGACCAGGCCAGAATCGAGCAGAGCAGAGCACACACCGAACCAGAAAGAGAGAGAGACAGAGAGAGGCATAGAGCCATAGAGCCATAGGGAGATAGAGAGCACACTCCGGCAGAGATCTCGGCGCTGCCAACAAATTTTTGGGCAGCAGGCAGCAGGCAGCGTCGCAGCAGGCGTGGCAGCATATTCTCCGATTCTCTCTGGCGTTGGGGCTGCTCTGTCTCGCTCGCTGGCTGCTGGCTGCTGGCCTGCTGGCCTGCCCCACTCGCTCGCGAGACACGCACACTTCCGGTGGACGGAGAGGCAATGGGGCACGGGGCACTCCACGGCTGCATTCGGCGGCCGTAAACAACAATGGACGTGGCGGCGAGACGCTCGCGCTTGCTGTGGCAGTTGCAACAATCTGTGGACAGCCCCAAAAGAGCATCAACAATGGGCCCAGTTCCAGTACCAGTACATCACTAGTGCCCCCTCCCATCCGCCAAACCCCATCCATACGCCACTCCAGTAGCAGCAGCGGCAGCATCCCATCAGAATGGGACTTCGGCCTCATCAAAACATTGCTTTGGCCCAAGGCACAGTGGCCCATTTAAACAAAAACAAAATCATATAAATATTCGATAATACGCGATAATGCATGATCAAGGAAAAAAAAGAACAACAAAACGAAATTAGAAAATATTAATATATTTGTAATAAATTGTATTAAATTTAAAGGCAACTAAAAGCATTCCCAATGGAAATGGAGAACAGCTGGCAATTTTTCGGACTACATTTATCAGTGGAGAATGCAAGATGCCTGTTGTCTGCGACAAACCATTTGGGAAAAATAATCAGTAATAGGTACTGATCATTGCTTTTGAATGAGCCTCGTGCCACTGTGCATCTGAGCAAACTATTTACATACTCGGCATTTATTTCTCGCACGCTCGCGAGCGGCGAACTACCCACGAAGCGGCGGCACGACAACCCGACCAAGACCCGATGCCCAATGATTTGAAGCGACAACAGACAACAGCTGAAGAAGGAGTCGCAGTCGCAGTCGCCAGAGAAGTAGTTGGAGCTGAGGCTGGAGCGGAGTCGGAGCAAGGGCTGGACTAGTACTGGAGATGGCTAGGAGCTGAGAGAACGGACGGGACGGGACAGGACAGGACAGGGCAGGGCAGGGCAGGACACCATTGGCGTGGAGTGGCGTGGCGTGGCATTGAGTGCGACGTGTCGCAGGGTTTCCTACTTGTATTGTTGGGCGAGTATGCGGCTCCTTGTCGCGTTGTTGTTTGTGCGATTTCCGCTCATTATTGCTGCAATCAGGCAGACAAAGCTCTTTGTCCTGTGCAGGACATGGGACATGGGACAAGAGACATTGGACATGCGACATGCTTTATCGGACATGGGACATGGGAAGATGGAATTTATGCGTATTTTGATTTTTGCGCCTAGACATCATGCAGGGCATATCAATTGGAGTTTTATGGCGGTCGGCCGTTGGGGCATTGTCACAGCTGGAGTTATGGAAATAAAAACTGTCTGCCATATCCGTTTGCCGATTTGATTAAGTTGTCAGAGGAGGCTCCCGGAGGCCCCAAGAGTCCTCCATCTCCATCTCCGTCTCCATGACGTACAGCTGCCGCAGACACCACACAATGGGAACGGCAACTGTCACTTGGAATGGGGAATGTGGAATGGGGAACGGGGAACGGGAAATGCTCAATTTGAGAATGGCAAATGGAGGATAGCCATCAAAATTCAATTGGTTTGAGGCACTACGTGAGACGCCTAGCATCATCGTCATCGTCGTCGTCTTGAGACAATGGCTGAGCAGATCCCTCTGCATAATTCGGCCATTAAGAGATGTTTTCTTGGCCCTGGCTTAGAGCAGACAGTTGCTGTTGCTGCTTCTGTTTCTGTTTCTGTTTCTGTTGCTGGCTGAGACAATGTCCGGAAAGGCCTTGCCTCATTAATGCACACTGAAAACATTACCCGGATATGACAGTCGGACGGATAAAGCTCTCCCTCTCTCTGTCTCTCTTTGGGCCCAGCGCCAAATGTTGCATTAAGATCCGAGCACGAGAGAATGAAAGGGTCCCAAGGTAGCTAGTGTCCAAGGCATTCAATTAGTCCTGGGTCTCCCGAGTAACCGCCTCCAAGGTGCATCTGCCGAGGCCTTAGGAATAGACTATACATATACGCAAAAGGATATATTCAAAACCTGGTCTGAATCCAAGGAGAACATGGTTTCATTCGTCAGTTAGAGAGCCATGAGTGTCCGAAAGGAAAAGGAACAAAGGATATCCGAGCTCCATTCATCACATCCAATCATACGCTTTGAAGAAAGGGTGTTGAAGGTCAGCAATACCACAAAATCCTCTCAAATTCTGAGTTTCTCTGAGAAAGTAAGAGTATACCACAGGCAGATCTATGTAGTGTAAGTCTTCCGAGGTTCTCGTTTATTAGTCCAAGATCTGTGATCTACCGCAGGGGCAGTAATTTTCCCACTTTTATGTAGTTTCATGTTGCAGACCAGACCGAAAAAAGAAAAACACTTTGATGAACTAGTTGGTGGCATGCTGCCGTTGCCGCTGCCGCTGCCGTTGTTGTGGCCGCCCCGTCCATCAGCACCTCTGGCTCGTTATGATTTTATGATCGGCCAGGAACCACCGCACACGCAGAATTTTATGAGCGATGTCAAATGGTTGCGTCAGTTCTTGTTGCGATCGAAAAGAAATATGATTTGTAAAATTGGATATCAACAAAATTTAACGAGACGCAGCTCTTGGCCTGGGTATTCCCCAGGGGCACCACATGGACGGGTGGAGGTGGATGCCTGTTGGAAGCTGGTAGTTGGCCGCACTCAGAACATAAATTATAATTTTCTCAGCACCCCCAAACGCTACGGGAGAGCGGCGTAAATAAATAAAATTAATCGAAATAACAGGCAAACACTGCGCATAAAACTGATAAAAGACGTTCGAATTAAGGAGCCTACGATGAGAACCAGAACCAGAAAACGCAGTCCGATTCCCAATCAAGTGGCATGACCGATTCCATCGGTGGGGTTTAAACGGGGTCAAGCGATTGCATTCCCCATTCCGCCACCTCCACCGCCACCTCCACCGCCACCGCCGGCACCTTCCCCTTCATTTTCTGTTTTTTAACAAAAATAGCGCAGACAACGGCATCGAAAATATAATAACATCTAGAGACGGGCGATGCGGGCTGGGGTTGGGGTTGGGTCGGGCGAACATACGGGTATCTGGAGAACTGGAGAGAGAGTCCAAAAATAGGTGCCCACACTTCTGGCTTCGGTTCTCCGGATGCCGCACACGAAACATCATCATTATGCACAAAAATGCAGCCCGGAGTTGGAGTTTTGCCGTAGAGCAGTGTGCTCGCAATACTGGCGGACTGCGATTATTACTGCAGCGTCTGTGTCGCATTAATCTATCATCGTCATCATCATCAGCAGCGTTTTCTGATGGCCAACAAAAGGACGCGACAACGTCTAGCTCCGTGCGAAAGGTCATTCATTGTTGATGATGACAAAACGCGAATCCCAAGCGGTTGGCTAGACGGGGCTCACACACCCCACTCTCACCCCAACCCATCTGCATAGCTCACCCCAAAATGTGAGGCTCTTGATTTCCCAGATTTCCAGCCTCTAGGCAATGCAGACTTCACTGCGAGCCAGTTTCGAGGCGATAATGATAAGGTAATACCAGTCAGTGTCGATGATACTGAATTTCCATCTTACTTAATGATATTAATTATTTGTTAAATAACCTTACATATATGTATGTATGTATATGAGTATGTAATTGGTTGGCCCACAAATAAGGTTTCTGTTCCTGAATGCCAGAAAGGCATACCTACATATGTATATTCTTAGTAAAAATTGTTCCTCCATTAGATCTACGATTCCACCTTCCACCTTAAGGAATTCATCTCTAGACGAATGCAGATGGGGTATGATAGAACAGCCAGAAAGGCATACAAATGTATATATTCTAGTAAAAATTGTTCCTCCATTAGATCTACGATTCCATCTTATATTTGTATGCACATTGTACACATGTAGGTAAATATATGTAAATTAAGGAATTATATAAGCGTTTTGTATGATGTTAACTAATTAAAATCCCAATTTTTTAACTAGATAAAGCTTTCCTCTGCTTTTCTTCAGTTCGCTTTTTTCAGAAAATATACGAATTCCATCATAAATTATAGATTGACAGAACACCCAAAAAATCATTGTCTCATAGCTTTTACCGTTAATTCGAAACAAACTGAAAAGCTCAAAGCTTTCAATGCGAAGCTTTCAGGTATAGGATGAAAGTTCAAATGCAAGACAAAAGCTAACAGCAGCTTTTAGGCAGTTCCAGCGCCAAAGGGAAATAAAGCTTTAAAGCTTTGAAGCTTTTACCGTTATGAGTTCAAGACATAAAAATACATAAGGGACATAAATAAACTTACCTGAAAAAATAGTGTAAACGCTACCCATTGATAATATTTTGTGTGCTTTATTGTTAGAGGGCCACGCCCCTGTGAATTGTGAACTCCGGGAAAAGGCACCTCGGAACCTTGCTTCTTCATAAACGCATCGACCACTGTATACGTTGAGTGTATCCAACAATATGTGTTGAGAACATCTTCGGGAATGTCTCTGTGTGTTACCAAAGAGGATATATAGTATATTGGATTCATATGAGGAAATCAGCTGATTGCACTCACCTTGTGTGTACACAGTCTATGGGATTTCCTACGTACTGCCGCGTCGTCACAGCAATCGAGAATGTGATCAGTAATATAACCGTTGCGTTGGTGTGCAGGCGAAAAACAGGTGAATCGATTTTGACATGAGACACCTGTTATCGAGCGCCAAGTATCGATATCGCAGAGTTGTTTTTTGGGTTGTGTGTGAATTGGTTTTGGTTTGATTTGGTTTTTGTTTGGTTTTGGTTTGGAGTGGGCGAAGAGAAAGAACATTATTATTGAGGGTCTTGACAGTGGCGCAAGTAAATCGATCGAAAGTAAAACGAAAGAACAAAATCAAACTGATGATGAGAAACTTCTGGAACGCAAAACTTTTGCTATGTCTGTTCTGAATGGAGTCGAGACTATGGTCGAATAGTACTCGAGTGCTTTCCATATCTGGGGGGTTGTCTGGTTATATACTATATGTACATATATGTATATGTATATAGCTAGATATAGATTGGTAATTCAACTCGTTTCAACCATTTCTGTTCTGTTTTTGATGGGCCTTACAATTATCTAGTTAACTCTCGCTTACAAATTAATACAGGGGGAAAAACTTGCTCCAGACACAGTACAAAGTTTTATTTTCAGATTAAGGGCCCGTGCCCGTGCCCGTTACCGTTCCACTTTCAACCTGAACTCCTTGCGGCAGATCTGTTCAACGAGTATCTGTTCAATTTGAAGGCGGAGCAGAGAGCACAGAGCACAGAGCAGAGCCTTGTTTGTGGGTATTAAAATTAATGCGAAATAAATACAATTTGCATTTTGAGAATTCTCGAATTCATTTCGGTTTTTCCGGTTTACTTTTTTCATTTTTTTCTTTTCTTTTTTTGATTATTCTAAGCAAGTAAGTATAGTAAGGTGTCACAGCAATTGTTTCGACTGGTTCTTCATTAGCCCTTTCTTTATTACACAAAAACAACAAAAAGGAGAAACAAATCAAAAAGCTAAGATTCGTGTGTATATGAAAGAGATAGAGAGATAGACATATAGAGAGAGAGATAGAGAGATATTGAGAGAGGTGTGAGAGAAACGAAAAGTGATTGAACTGTCTGGGAATGCAGATTTCGAGATTCGATTGCATTGGAATGGGGGCCACTGAAGTGATTAATAGAAGATTCGATTGAAATGAGGAGAGAATGAGAAAGGGCCGCTTCTACTGTTTGTTAATTTCAATTTTGGGCAACCAATGCAACTCTGCATCAAAATTTAGCTATCGAATTTTCTTGATTTCTAACGATGACCACTTATCGATATTGATCTGACTGACTGACTGGCTGACTAGTTATGTTTGAAATTGGTTAACAAATAAGGCAAACCAAAAACTTGGAACACACAGAGAGCGAGAGACCGAGAGAGATAGATAGAATGAGAAGAGAGACCTGTGAAATTTCGATAATGGCTTCAGAATTTGACAATTTGAATCAGAATTGAATGCAATTAATTGATTGAGTGATTCGGTGGTTCAGAGTGAGTGGTTTGTTGGTTGGTTTCTGGAATCGGATCGGTTTTCTTTATTGGTTTGGTGTTGGAAAACGAATTGGAATTTGTGGTTCTTTGTTTCGTTTCGGCTTTAGCAAAAGGTGAGTTGAGTTCATGTTAGTTAATACGTTAAGTGGTGAATACTGAGTTTGAAATTTGCTGCAGTGGTGAGAGCAGTGAAGTGATCGGTCAGTGATCGGTGGGTGATCGGTGAGTGATCGGTGATCCGTGATCTGTGATCGTGGTGATCTTTATTATCTGTTGTGACTGTGGTGGGGTGAGAGAGAAACATTTGTGCTACAGCCACAAAGCTGCACTTGTTGGTGAGTTGGTGAGTGGTGATCGCGATCGTGATCGTGATCGTGATCGTGATATTGGTGAGTTTTTTGTGATAGGCTGTGATCGGTGATCGTGGTCGTGATCGGTGGTGTTGGTGAGTTGAATTGGTGTTGGTGAACTTTCGTGTGTGTGATCGTGATCGCGAGAGACAGAGAGATAGAGAGATCGGAACAGAGATATAGAGTGAAGTGATTGAGTGAGTGAGGGTACAATATAGAAATTAATTGAATATATAGTTGAATGTTAATAGAATTAGGTATTTTACGTGGTGAAAAATCTATGTGAGCTGGAGATTGAATTGAATTGAATTGAATGTGGCGAAAATGTACGAGAGAGAGAGAGAGAACTGCTTATATAAAATGGTTAAAAATTTGTTTACGTTTATTCTAAAAAAATCAAACACAATACACAAGTTAGAGTGAGACAAACAGACATAGAGAGCGATATAGAGAGATACATATATATTATATATACTGAGAGAGATAGAGAGAGATATATAGTGAGTGTGTGGTATAGATAGATACAGATAGCGCTGGAAAGCTGGGTTCTAAGGCTCAGTGGGCGCTGTGTTCGGTTCGGTTTGGTTTGGTTCGGTTGCTTTAAAGATCGAAGAGTGTTCAGAGCACATGTATTTTGGAATACGAGCATAAGATATGTAGTTCCCTGACACGCATCGATCTAAGCAATTCCAAGCAATACTTGCTCAATGATTTATTTTATTTAGCTCTTACTTTTGGTTTCTTAGCTTTACAATTTCGGTTAAGCAGGTTTTTGTTATCCTGTATTGTTTCATTATTATTTGTATTTTGTTGTGTCTGAGTTGTGTCTGTATCTCTTGTTGGTTGGTATTCTTGTGGTTCTCTTTGGTTAATTTCGAAAATGAAAAGAAAAACTTTCTCAAATACATCTGGGATAGAGATAAAGAAACAGAGAGAGTGGTATATAACTAGCTATAGTTTATATAAAGATCTAGATATGGTATAAAGTAGTTATGTTTGTTCGGATCTCTGTTGTTTCTTGTTTTTTGTTACTGTTGCTGTTGTTTCTTTGGCTGTAGGTGGTGTGTGCTGCTGGCCTTTTTGCAGTTTCGAGTTTTGGAGTTTGGAGTTTGGAGTTTTGTTGTCTGGAGCTGACTTGACTTGAGTTTGTGGTTTGGTTTGGATTTGTTTTTGGTACTGGTTCTGGTTCTGGTTCTGGTTGCGTTTAGCTTTTGTTTTTTCTTTGCTGGTTTACTTTTTATATACTTAAAGCTGACAGAGATACATACATGTAGATAGATAGATATATAGTAAGTGTCTGGTTTTATCATTTATTGTTGCTTTATTGGTTTTTGGTTTCGGTTTTTGGCTTGGTATTGGTATTGGTTACGCTTGCTTTTCTTTTGGTTAGCTGGTTTTTTTTTTTTTGCTTATCTTTTGGTGAGGTGGGGGGAAAGGTGAGAGTCGTGAGATTGCGTGAGAGAGAGAGAGATAGACAAATTCGAGTGAGTTTTTGGTGAGTAAGTGATTCCGTGATTGAGTGATTGAGATAGATAGCTAGAGAGTAATTTTACGTTGTTATTTATTCAATATTCAATATTCTTTATGTTTTATTTTCGGCTTGTTCTTTTTAAGTGTAGATATTTAATTTTCTTGTTGTTTAATTTCGATTTAGCATGGTTTTTTCTGGTTTTTGGTTTAAGTGTTGGTGTGAGACAAGTATACTTATTTTAAGAGAGAGAGAGATAGATATAGCGAGAAAGAGAGAGATAGAGGTACAGTTGAGCTTGGCTTATCCTAGCAGTCGAAGACGTGGCGGGGTGGGGCGGGGCTGGGCAGGGTGGGGCGGCAGTTGTTAGCTTCGAAAGCGTCGAGTGAGTGAGCACTTGGCCATTCCAAAAAGTGAGAGTGAGTGAGTGAGCTGGTGTGACCAGGTGAGAGCGAGCTAACGTGTGACAGAGAGCGGCGTGATACGTGAGAAAGAGAGAGAGAGAGAGAGAGCGACAGAGCTTGACTGTGGCTTGTGGCAGAGTGTTTAACGAAAGACAAAGCAGGACAAAGAGTGAGAGAAGCTCAAATCATACGAGAGGAAGTGGACAAGGGATAAGGAGGTAGGAACAGGAGGTAGGTCCTTAACCGAGTGTCTTGTTTGGGTAGTGGTTGCTGGATTGCTGGGTTGCTGGGTTGCTGGGTTACTGGGAAGCTTTCGTGTTCGACTAATTTGCTGGTCGGCTTATGGCATTCGCTGATTCGTGACTTTGGTGACTCGTTAGTGATTCGTGAGCTCGTGACTTTTGTGTTTGGTTTTTGGTTTTTGGTGACTCGTGTCCTGTGCTTGGCGTGTTTCACATTTAGCTGTTTTTGTTGTCTTTTGTAATTGTTTAAATGTTTTCCTTTTGGTTTTTATATTTTGCATTGCATCGATTCGATCATTTTTTTGTGATTTTTGGTGAGAGGCATAGGCATATTTTTTGGCATTACTTTCGTCACAGTTTGCACAACGGAATTGTTCTTTTTTGATTAGGTTTGCGTGATTTCTGGAATGATGGTGGGTCCGAATTGGCATTGTTTATAAACTTGAGTTAGTTAATCAATCGTTTTAGTAGGCTACAATGTTTAGGTGAGGCGTTTACTTTGGTTTCTTGTTTCTGGTTTGTCTTTTTGTAATAGGCACTTTCCAGGGACTTGTCTGGGTTCTAGACTTGGGATAGACACACACTATACAAAAGAACATATTACATACAAACGACAGAGAGTGAGAGAGACGGATAGAGCGATAGAGAGAGACATAGAGAGCGGGGCACAATTAGAGAGAGCTGGAGGAGAAAAACATAGAGGCATAGAGATATAGAGACGGATGATCATTGAAAGGCGTAAATCAAAACATAACCAAAACAATAAGCCGAAAATGTCTACGAAACGAAACGAAATCGAAACGAGCAAACAAAAAACGGAGGGGGACTCGGAGCAAGAGGGTCGGTCGGTGTGCACGACTGCGGGATACCCTGTTCGTAAAATACAACCCTACAAGGAGAACTCTAAGCTTTCTTGGCTCAACAACAAAATACACTGCTTATGGCTCAGTCAAGCTGATCTTTCCCCGAAAATTGTATATACCTTAGAGACTGTAGGGCACTTCCTGTCTCTGCCTCCGGCAATCCTTTCTGCCCAAACCAATCTACCCGAGTGCACCCTTGGGTTATAATGAAATTCAGCCCAAGTGGATGAACAATGACTTCTCCCTATTCCTATACCTATCCGTATCCCTTTCCCTATCTCTATCCTTACACCCATTCACATATTATTTC